CCCCCCCCCCCCCAGTCTTTTTACAGCCTGACTCCCTAATGGCTTCTTCAGGGATGGTAAACCAGTTTTGTTCATCTGTTACTAGATGCAGCATTTGGAGGCTGTTGCAAAAAAGTAGCTGTGGCAGTGCTGAAAGCCTCACCAGGCTGTATGGCAACAGGCTGCTTTGGTTTTCCTGCTGGGGGGGCAATGCTGGCTTCATGTCTGGTCCTCCTCTCGCGATGGACTCATGAAGTGCTGCAGAAAAGAGATACTTATCGATGTTCTTTGTAAATGGACTGGGCAAACTGCGTGAAGCAATTTTATAACCTCTCAGGTTTTATGTCTGTAAATAACTGTCCCCACTGAACATTTGTCCTTTGTTAAACTTGGAGGAGATAGTCATGCACCCTAACTGCTTGGCAGCACAGTTCAGGGTTAAGCTTATAAAAGGCTATCTGCGTGCGTGTGGGTGCACCTTATACTTCAAACTTCCTATCTTCCCTGACGCTTTCATGATATCTATGACTTTCATAAAGCTGTTGTGTGAAAAGCTGGCACATGCAGTTGGCTAAAAACAGTATATGTCAGCAAACTCAGACAGAGGAGATATATATTGTTTACAATGCCTGAGGAGGTAGAAATCTTTCAGGAGCTAGGTGATAATACATGTATGTTTTGCTGAGCTGTGCTCTTGCTCCTCGCCTTGTGCACGTTTCAAGGTGCATTCAAGCACCTGCTGGTATTAAAGGAAAAGAGTTACGATACCTAAAAATGCAGCCTTGAGAAATGGAGGCAGGCCTCATTCAGGTAGCACTTCCTGGCTGTTCCTAGGACTGAAGATGCAGTGTCTCTGCAGACACCATTTTGCCAGAATGATGAGCACAGTATTCACAGCTTTTTTTTTTTATTTGACACCGACTATAGGGGCTTCCTACTGAGCTGGGTCTGAATCTGAACAGCGGTCGCTCAGGCTGGGAGGGGATTGTGTTTCTCGGCTCCGGGACTGCTTTTTAAAACATGACAAAGCTAAGGGAGCGTCGGGAATACGCAGCATTATAGGGGTCTGCCCGCAGGGACGCTAGCTGCCCGGCCTAGCAGCTAGATCGGGGAGAAAATAGCTTCCATTTTCAACTCTGCCATTGAATCACGTCTTCGAACAAGTTGCATAACCGCTGTTCCTGCATCTAAAAAGGGAGTCTGTAATACGCTCCGCCCTCTGCAGAGTGCTCCAGATCCTGAGACGAAAGATAACTTGGTGAAAAGTCCTCTGGCTTCCCTGTATATTTGGGCCGCCACTGACCCAGGGAAAAGGTGAATTGGCATAGGTCTGAACGCTCGAGCACCCGTGAAATGTTGTAGCAGAAGGCATGCTACAACCAGCAAATGAGTTACTGGAGAGTCTGTCGTGGCCTGTGAGTCTGGATTTGCAGGAAGCAAGACCCTCTGACATAACTGGCACATGTATCTCTCAGCCGACAAGGCAGAACTTCTCAGAGGTGTCGGGCTTTATACCAGCTACAGCCTGTGCCACGAATGCACACCCACGTTTGTGACCGAGCCATAGGGTGAGGTGCTTGATTACCTCTCGACAAACTTTAGTCCTTGCCGTGTTATTGTTAGTGACCCGGCTGGAGGATTTTAGCTCATAGACGTGTGCGTGCGTATCTGAAATCCGCCCCTTTAGCTGCTGAGCAGCTTTGGAGAATGGCACATGTCTGCACCTAACAGTCCTGCAGTCCTGATTGCTTTCTTCGCGTGGGCTCTAGCGCGGTTCGAAACTGAACGAATGCACCTCTTGACGCTGCTTTCTTTCCCCAGGTTGACTTGGAAGCTCTCGCCCAGGCGATCTGTGCTATGCCTAAGGAAGAGTTGTGGCTAGGGATGGCCGGCCAAGATTCTGGCAGCTGCGACAGCATGGGCAGCACCGCTTCCAACCACTCTGGATGCGTAAGTAACATTCACATAACCTTCGCTTGATTTGCTGCTAATTTTGAGCTGCAGATTCAGCAACCAGGGACACTACAAGCCTCTGACGAGAGAGTGTAGGTTGGCACAAAGGACTGTGCTCTACTTCAGATCAACACTTACTGTGGCGGCGGGTGGAAGCCTCGGTCCCAGACAAGGGTCTGCTGCGTTGGGAGCTGAACAAGCAAAACGCAGCCCTGCCCCAAGGAGCTGTAGGTCCTGCCCACTTCCAGCCTGGTGCAGTTCAAACAGTGGAGGTCGCTTGTGTGGAGTCGAGGGCAGGGGGTAGTTGGATCGTGAGCCCTTGAGCTCTGGGCTGGGTTAAAGCACTTCCACTGCCACCACTGTCCTCCGTAAGGTCCACGTGCAGCTGGGCTTCCCGGGGACACAAGGCAAGGTTAAGTCTGGCTGGATGCATCACCTGTGAAGAACCAAGCAAGCTGGCGGTGGAGTGCTGATATGCCACGCACCCACTAGACTGTAACAAAGGCAGCTCCATCTAAAATAGCCATAAACCATTCTCATCCCTAACTTACCACACAATAATTAAGCCAGGAATTAATTGGGCCCATGATGCAAATGCATACTATTGCTCAGTCTGTCCGTACCTGTTTGTATCAACCATGTCAGGCTGGGGAAGATTAATTACATCCTGTCTGATTTGGAGTATAATTGAGGTGTACTAATTGCAACTCTCAGTTGGTCCTCCCTGCCTTCTCTTGTGCATCAGCAACAGATGCACGTGTAATTACCAGGGATGGGCCAGCTGGTTACTATATTACATGGTGGAGGACTTGACACAAGATAGGGGTGTATGCGGTCCAGTGCAGATCAGGTTGAATCTCACAGAAGCACTTGAAAAGCAGGAGACAACTGGGAGAAGCAGCACCATCAACAAACAAGCTGCTGAATAGCTGGATGCTTTGACAAGCTTTCCAGATTTGATCCATACAGACGTGGTTGGCCTGTGATACGACTAGCTAGCAGTGCACGTCATACATCTATCAGTGCTTCAAAGGAGAACTAGGAAACACCGTTGATGGCCAAATTGTATAGTTAAATTAGGAATGGTAACTATTCAGCGCTATTTGATCAGCCTGCCAAATGATAACGATGCCCAGAAGTGATGTGTCTGCACTTCGCTTCTAAGAGCAACTGGCTGGGTTTTCACTAGCTGTTGGTGCTGACTTCTGAGTATTCAACAGTTTGGTTCCAGGGATGAGAACTGGGAGCGGAGAGTCCTATTTTGCTACATGTCTGCCTTAAACTCCAAGTGATTCTGTTAAACAGCGTGATGCCTTGCACATCTCCCATACGTCGGTGTCTCCTTTTTATTTTCTAGAGCGATAACAATTATGACTATTTATCTGTGGAGGAAAAGGAATGTTTGATGTTCCTAGAAGAAACCATTGATTCTCTGGATGCAGAAGCAGACAGTGGGGTCTCTACTGACGAGACTGACTATGCTGAGCCTTCAAAGACCTGGTCAAAGAGAGAGGTTATTCCAAAGGGTAAGGCTGAGCTTGCATTTAGATCCTCAGACAGCTCCCTGCTTTATCTGCCACAGGGCTTGTATTTTTTAAGACTCATTCCTGGCCAAAGTTAATGTTAGCAGGAGGGCAAGTAGCATTGCATCAGCTCTCCGCATTCATAAATGAAAACCTGGTATTGGCCAACTGAAGTCTGCTGGGGATAGGGGAGGGGATGAGATGAGAGGCTTGTGTGGGTCAGTACTCGGCATTAGACTCTTGATTTCCCCCCACCAGTAAAGTAAATTGCTCTTCAGGGCAAAACAGCTTTTCTTTTGCTTCTTGCACACACAGATATATTGTTGTAATTAAGTCTGTATCTTGTCAGCTGCAAGCATTCCCCTTGCACCCTGTCGGCGTGGGGAGGGTGGACCATCAACCTTTTAACTGGGGAGTGGGCATTGCTAGACACTACACAGAAAACAGCAGGGTGCTTGTGCCCTGCTCCACATACTTACTGCTACCTCTTCTTCTTCTAGATCCGGACAATAGGATTCGCAGTGAAAGTCTTGCTCAGTGGCATGAAGTTCAACAAAAGGGTGACCCAAGTGTGTCTGCTCTCTCAAGATCTGCCCCAGCACTGGTTTCCAGCTCAGGCTGTTGCAACCTCCCAAGGGATGCCAGCGTAGTGAGTGCACACACAAACAAGGCTTCTGTCTGCAAAGCCACTGACCTCAGGGTGGAGGGTCCAACTCCGACAGCTCAGGAAACAGGGAAGTCATCTTGGACATCTCCCAAGAAAGAAGGGATAAAGGACATGTCCAGTGACCAACCCAACTGGAGTATGAAGGAGAAGCCACTGGAGTCCATAATTATACAACCCCCTGAAAATTTCCAGGACCCTGTAATGATGAATAATCAGCAAATAGCTAGCAAGGGATCTGGTAACAGCAGCAAAGATCGGTCCTCTGAGTCCGAGGCCAAGAAGGAATATGGGGAGGCAGAGAGCAATCGGCCTCGGGCTGCGTCTCAGCATCCTGCCCCGGAAGAGGCAGAGTTGCCGCAGAAAGAAGTAGCTATTCCAAGCCCAGCAGCACCTAAGCCTTGTGAGATGGGTCTGCAGAGAGACACTATCCCTCCAGGCAGCCAAGAGCATTCAGCAACAGAAGAGGCTGCCCTGGATTCAGACCTCAAGCGTGGGCCTCCCACGGCCCCCAAGCCAAGGAAACTGCCCCCAAATATTATCCTTAAAACCAGCAAAAACAATCCAGTGCCCCTCATTATAGACCCCAGCCACAGGATAAAAGCACTGTCTCAACCACCAACCAGCCACAAACCCAGCACTGCTGCAGCCAGCGACACCGCGGGGCATCTTGACCCTAAAGAACAGGAGAGAGCCAGGCGGGAGGCTTTGGAGAAGCTGGGACTTCCACGGGATAAAGGAAGGGCACCCGATGCCCATGTTAAACCTGCCACTTCTCCCAAACCAAAGGAGGCCCCTTTCTTCATTCCTAGGGCAGCTAGCAGAGACGACATAGCCAGCGATAAAGGAGTCCACTTCATTGCTAACAAGAGCCAACCCCATGACCCAAGCTTCAGCGGACCAGAGAAGGTTGCTCCAGGCCTGAGGCAGTTGCACTTCAAATCCAACACCTTGGAGCGCTCTGGCGTGGGCCTGAGCAGCTACATCTCCAGCAGCAAGGACCAAAACGTTAAGAACAGCAGCTCGCTGGGCAAAACGTCCTTTATCGACAAGATCACGCCCAGCTTTCTCAAAAGCAGCCGCCCACGTCCGGCTTCGCTGGGCATGGGGAAGGACTTTGGCCACCTCCAGGAGCACCAAGTTGGCAAGGTGGAGCTGTCGAAAAGCGACAAGAGACGATCTGACTCACTGCAGAACTACTCCAAGCTGGCCCGGCCTCCTTGCATCAGTGTCAAGATTGCCCCGAAGGGCGCCACGGACGAGCACCGGAGGGAGGCTCTGAAAAAGCTTGGCCTGCTGAAGGAGTAGCCCTGTACTTCGCCCTCGGCGTGGTCACACCCCTGCTGTCATGTCCCACGCCAGAACTTCTCTGCCTTTGCAGACGCTTTATTTAATGCAACAGGGCAGACTCCATGGGTGGCAAAGTCTGGGAGCACTCGCTAGATGATCTCGGAGCCCTTTAAATGGAGAGCATGAGAAGGAGCATCTTTAGCCGTTGCTTCCCTGCCCTTGGTCTCGGGAGGGCAGCCTGAACCAGCCCGGCCACTAGAACTGCTGACGCTTCCTACCAAATCAAGTGACGTGGCGTGTACATAGCAGTGTATGTTGTGTGTGTGTATGTATGCAAACTATTTATACGTGACAGGAACAAGTGAGCAGATGGGAGTAATCTCCTACAGGTTTTATTGCACTGACTGGCTTGTGTCACCGGGAAACCACAGGCTCTGGCTGCATGGAGAAGTGACGTCTCACAACAGGCTACATGCGGCTAAAGCTCCAGTAGAGACTTTTGGGCTCCAATGGACACGTGCAGCCCGTGAGGGATACACGTGCACCTGCCAGGGCAGTCAGTGCACCCAATATTTTAAGCAGGGTAAACTCAGGGTGGGAGAGCTAGGGTATGGGTGAGAAGGGAGCACGCTTGATAGTGCTCAGAACTTGTTGAGGTATCCGAAGCAGAAGTGCTGGCCAGCACAAAGGGCAGGTTGGAGCAGCAGATGATGACTTGTTCACTCTAATGAACGTTCATCTTGTGTCTGGCATTTCTCATACCCAGGTGCATGAACTTCTACTGATGCCCTCTGTTAATTTTTGTTACGTGCCTTTTACAAGAAGGAGGTGTTTTGAATGTCTACAATAAAGTATTTTATATGGCCAGATAATGACTGCGCAGTCTGGATTTCCTTGTTATAAAGACAGCAATATTTGGCAATAGTAAAATCCAGGAAGGGTGAGATGAACAAGCCTTTTTTTTTTTTTTCCCCCCCCCCTTGAGTTTTAATCTGAACAGAGACAGAGGAATGGTCATGTCTGCATCAGTTGTGCAACCTGAGAACTTAGCACCAGCTTAATGTAGCATTTACTGTAATTTTGGGAAAACTCTCTCATTCCTGTAATGTCTCCACTTGCTTGCCTTGATGCGGTAGGGCACAGTCCCACTAAGACGGAAAGACTGTACTGGATGGAGTAAAGACTTCATCGAGCTGCACTGGAATTATATGGCCGGGCATTGTAGACTAGCTACAGCTTCTTAATAACTGTCAGTCTTTGAACTAAAACTTCCCAATCTTTGGTCTTGGCTCTGCACACAATACCCTCTGCTAATTTTTATAGCTCAGTGGGGGTAATTAATTAGCAACAAGCCTGAGCAATGCAGTCTTGCCCCAATACAAGAACTTACAAGGATGCATGTCTCCACGGGCAACATGGTCAACACATCAATTAGTCACAGGGCGAGCAGCATTTTGCAAGCAGTGGCCTGTACATGGTGTATGTCCATGCACTGAAGAATCTGCCTGTTGGAAATGTAGTCTGGAGTGGTGTCACTTTGTGGAGCAAATACAGTTAGAGCTTCACTGGGCTGAATACAAGACCTCACCCTAGCCCTCCATGTTTCTCAGATTTTATTCCACCTCAACCTATTCCAAATGTCTTCCCTCCCCAACATCTTCCATCATAAGCGAGACAAACCTTTTAGCAGTGGGGGGAGTATCAGCTGGTGACTTCAAGATGTGCCCTCTGTTTTAACTAGCTCGAAATAGTATGCTAATAGGTAAACTAGATACCACTACTTACTATACTTAGAGTAGCAGAAACTAGAAGTGGATTTTTTTTTTTTTTTTATGGCTTGAAGATGTTTCTAAGATCTGCTGACAGTAATGCAGCTTCCGCCTTGCTTGGTGGCAATAGGAAGAAATAAACTCTTAAAATGCCTGTTGCCAGTGAAAAGTCACCACCAGCTTCCTGTCACTTGGATAGGTAGCAGATCTTCACCGAGACCAGGGTGCTGTAGTAGCATGAAGCTGAATACCTTGAAGATGGGGTATCTTGTCCATGCACATGTCTGAAACGATTCTGATCCATACTACAGCAATGCTCAGTTTTATGGTAACCTGCTCTGTTCTTTAAGCCTATGTGGACAGCCCCTGTATTTTGTTATTTCCATAATAGTGGCTGTGAATATCCAGTGCAGCTTTAACCTCCTATTCCCTCTCTGCTGCCTTCCCACCCGCGCTGGTTTTCCAGGGCTGAGCATAGCATAGACGTTAATATATCCCCACTTTCTCTTTAACACATAAAAATTGCAGTTCTGTAGTCACATGGAGCAAGTCCAGGGAGCAATTTGTGTATGATTAAAGAAGGGGGCGGGGGTCTGTTTGCAGTTGCTCTTGCTATGTTATATAAATTGCGAGAGCACGTCAGCCTCGCGGCGGAGTATGGGTCTTAACAGATCCAAACATGCATCTCTGTTGGTACCTGGAGTCGGGTTAGAAGGGCAGGCCGTGTTCTCGGCATAGCTATACCCAATGTGGTCTGCGTTTAGCTCTACACGCGGTCATCTTAGGGGTACACATATGGTGCTAGTCTTGCAAGTGTTTGTGCAGAGGGGCTCTACTCGAAGTCCTGAGGTCTGCCTGCTGCACACAGCAACCTGGGCCTCTGCAGCTTTGATGGGAGCGTGTGGGATGACAGGCAGCTCTTCCCACCACCTCCAGCAACCTCTGGTGTTGATGGGGAAAACATTGTCTCCCAACTAACTGATGAGTAACCATTAAGGAATTCCTAGAGGAGAACAAGGCTGAAAGGAGGCCTGGATCATTTGAGGAGAGCTTGGCTCGAGTCTGCCAAGATCAGTCGTCTTTGATTTCACAGAATGCCCTATTCTGCGTGAGCTCGACACCTATAGTCACCAGCCTGGCGGTCTACAAATCACTCCACTTTCTCTGCAGCCTTGCCCTTGCACTGCAGCTGGCCCAGCATCTCTGAATCTACCTGTAACTTCCTCCGTTCAGACTTGCTCTTTTGAGTAGGCTGCCGCTGCTGGCCTCCCTCTGTATTTTAGTAGGATTTTGCACCTTGAATTCCCAATGTGAGCTTGTTCTCCCTAGACAGTCTATAGAAATAATTGATAGGGGTAGTGGAAGTATCTTGTGCATCTTTGCAGCATGCCTGACCGGCTCTGCCCATGCTACACCTTTTCAGTAGGAATTAAAAGAACAGGAACTTCGACCCCTATCAGGCAAGTTCTCGCGGTGGGTGTCCAACTTGGCACGTTGCTTGGGATGGTGCACACCCCGTAGCCTGGCCTCTAATTGGGCCTTCTCTGGCTCACACTGGGTGTCCACAAGCCACGAGGGCTTTGGGAAAATACCACCTGGGGCAAGTCCTGCCGTTGTTGCTACTTCTCCATTCTTCTGAGCAGAGTGGAATTGGACCCCAAGTCATTAGCATTTCTCATCAGCCAGAGATTTGAGGGGTGCCGCCAGCCATGCAGGAGGGGTCCTTTCTGCAGGCTGGGCTTTTACCCTTGCAGGGAAATCTCATCTCAGTCCATGTTCACACTTTCAAGTCCAGACCGATGCGTAAAGCAAGCATCCATATACCCAGGCAGGCATCTGAATAGCTAAAATAGTGCAAGCTTTCAATACACGCATTAAAAAAATGAGTGCACACCCAAAATCTATCAAAGACAAAAATACACAATTACCTGCTGGGGCACATTTCTCACAAGAAAACCACTCTCTCCAATCTCGGTTCTGCTCCTCAAAGGGAATTTACAAACCACCTTTCATAAACAAGCCTATAAACTTTACTTCATTAGTCTACTGGATATAAAAAATCATGGATTAAATATAGACATTGGATTTATGGCACATGATAACCTGCCTGTTATCCGATAACACCAAGTTATCTGTCTGCATTTTACCAGCTACTTTCTGTCATCAGTTCAACATTTCCCCTTTCCTCCCACCTACCTATCGCACACCGATTGTCTCTCATTCCCTCTGATCCTCACTGCCACACATTTGCATTTTCACAGACCTGCATTTTGCAGATTGGCTTCTCTTCCACCATGGAGAACACAACACCAGCAGACTCTCCCTATGCCTGAAGCAGGGTGTTTGTGCCCAGAAGCTTGCAAAGCACAATTTTTCCAAATATTTAGTTGGTCTAATAAAAGATATCACATTTACTCAAAGTCTGCCTATGCCCTTAGACCAACGTGGCTACAACCAACAACATGAAAGCTTTCAATATGATGTAAAATGGAAATGCTGCATCTTGGAAACAAAGGTTTTAAAGCAATACCTCTGCCAATGATTTTCAAGTATCTTTGGCTTGTTACTTAACACAGCCAACCCTACAGGGAAATTAAGCAATAACTTTTTTAAATGCAAAGGTAAAGCAAACAGCACTTTAAGAAATGCTAAATCCAGAGCCTGGTTTCCACTTGGAACCTATAATTTTGATTCAAGACCCATTTTTTGTTTAAAAAGAAGATCCTTGTGCAATCGCCAAAGAGTCTGCAAAAGTCGCTGCAGTCCCTGCAGCTCACAACAGGTAAAAAAAAAAAAAATAGGAAAGAAAACTAGTACTGCCCCCTAAAATGAATCCAAAGACATCAGAGAAAGACACCTGATTACCAAATTGCTAATGGGCTAATATTTACCCATTCCCACATGCCACCGAGAGGAAATGAAGGTGAGTCATGCTGATTACAGCCGGGTCAGCTGGCATTAAATATCCACGGATCCATTAGTGGCAAGTGCGGGCGTTTGAGAGTTTTCCTAAAGGAGCTTTGCTAACTTGCAAGTTTCACAACCTGATTTTGCTCCTGGCATCAGGCTGACCACGGGAATGCTCCCGGTTTGGGAAGTCCCGCTTTGTCGTCCTACAGTAACACTGACCTAGAGGTCTGCAAAGGGGCCATATCTTGTCCCAGTCTGGGCCATATGCCTAGGCACAGGAGGCTCTGCAGAAAGGGGGCTGCTTCTTTCCTCCAGGAGCCCTCTGCAGAAGGGATGCCTGGAAAGTCCTTAAAGGCCTTGCGTATCCAGATGGCCTGCACAGGGAGCTGAACAGGGCCCACTCAGCCAGGAGCTCCTTGTGTGTCCTTGCCTATCTGGTGATCTTGGCTTGGCTCCATGTGCTTCTGGGTTGATCCCAAAAGAGGTGTTAGGAGGAGCTGCTCTATCCCATTCCCATCCTCCCCACCCCATGAGGCTGAGACGCAGCTAACCGCACTGCTCTGCGGCCACATCTGCTCTGGGTGACGCCGGGTGCAGAGAGAGACTCCCAGCTGTTGCAAGAACCACTGCTGGAATTTGTTGCACCCTCCCTGTGAGAGTGATTCACCCAGCAATGCTGCTTCCTACCAGGGCTGACCCCAGGCAGCACTAAGTGTCACGGTGTCACGGCCCCAGCCCAGCCCAGCCCGCGTGCCCTTTGTGGGGATAGGGGGGCTGGTTCCTAATGACTCGTCAACAGATCCAGCCTGAAAACTGCTGTTTGCAGGATAAACAGTAACATCTGCTCACAGGCCAGGGCTAAAACCAAACGATTAAAGGCCCAACAGCAGTGAGTCAGCACCATCTGGAAAGCCGAGACATGCAGAGTTAATTCAGAGAAGTGTGATATTGGTGTTGAGCGGCTATTCTCCTGTTAGCTTTTTAAGCTCCCTTTCTAGTGGCTGGGCACTGGGCTGGATCCACAGCTGGCATGCATGGGTGTAGCTCCAGGAAGTGAGACCTCTCTCATGCAGCTTAACCGATCCCTAACCCCAGCTCATGGCAAATGTGATGCCATAATATCCCCTAAGTTTGATTAGACAACCTGACCTCTTGCACCTAAGACATTTCCTTTATCAAAGAAAGTGTTGAGAGACTGGTGCCTCCCGAGTCTGGGAGGGGCACCCACAGGTGCCACTGGTGGCGGCCCTGTCCAGGGGGGCACATGCCCCCCCGCCCTATGCGTTGCCTATGAGGCTGAGGTCTTGCTTCAGACACAAAAGCTCTTTGAGGGAAGACTGGCAGATTCTCCACATTGCTGCTCAAATAAACAAGCTCAGGTTACTCTTAGGTGAAGGCTGGTCCAGGATCCGTGCCGCTAAAGTATGTCTAGTAAGTTAACACTCCTTATAAGAAGCGTGATCTGGGGGTCACGGGAGGCTACAGAGAAATGGCTCAAATTCTTTTGAAAGAACCCAGTAAAACCCACCTGCCTCATCTGGGCCGTTCTGAAGGAGAAGCAGCGTTGCCAGAGCTGTGACGGTCCAGGGAATACGTGAGAAGCAAAATACGTTTGGTAATAGCTTTTATGGTGCAGAAGATCATATGGTGGAGTAATGATAGAAAGATGAGACTGGCCTCTGCCAGGACAAAGAGGGAGGAGTGTGACCACCAAGACCTGATTCTCCATGAGCCTGCGTTTTGTATCGACTCTCCATCAATAAAGATGGAGATAGCCCCTTGAGAGAGCCACATTACAAAGGATATTCCTGCAAACTGCTCCATTCAGTCTGTGCTCAGCTTGGAGCCATCTGCACCTCTTTCAGTTATATGTTGCTAGCTTTCTATTCAAGTCAGTCATTGGCACGTTAAAACAAATGGCTTAAAAGCTGGGTGGAAACCTCTTATGCTTCTGTTTCTGCATCAGGCTAGTTTAAACCTGTCAGCTCCCGAGGCAATTCACACACAGCAGCAGCAAATATTCCTTCCACAGTGTTTGCTGTAGGGGGGCCGCGAATACAGCCTCAGTCATGACGTCCTTGTGGGTATGTTCACGGAGGTCACTGCTCACAGGATGGACAGAGCAAGCCATCCTGTCAATGCAAGCAAATTGCTGGGAGCCAACACTTTTTCTTAGTCTTATGCAACTCATAATCCTTAGATGCCAAGAATTAATTTATCTTCACTCTAACCTACATACTCGCTGCATGTCTGGGATACTAGCAGTTACATGGTGGGTAGAAACTCAGGCTTAATTCAGGAAACCAGATGGTGAAAATGATGCTCAGCGACAGTCCTCATAACTGTAGCGCATGTGACTTCAGGGCTTTAAAAGATGCTATAATGCTTCGTACACCTAAGCCTCTTGCCGAGTACGGTGCTAGAACCTCTAAATTCCCTTTTGCAGAAGCAGGGCACTAGCCAAGTGCAGACAAGGCAAAGATAAACTCCGTGAAAGGCATTGTTTGTGGGCTTCATTACAAACTCTTGCAGATGAAAAGTGCTTGAGTTTATGAGTCCAGCTTTTGATTTTCTAATTGCCAGTGACACAGACTTAACCAAAGACCTTGAAACTAATCCAGGCCCTTTTTTCCCCTCATTCCTAGAAATGGAGTATACAGTCTCATCTTGTCCCGTTCAGTGAGACTGGGTTGATTTATCATGAAAAACACTAATTGGGGTCTGGCAGGCAGAGACTGAACAAATATACATGTACAGTTATGTAGGTTAAGAGCAGATATAGGGCACATCTGAAAGCTGAATAGAGCTGTAACTTTGCAGTTCAATAAAAAGCAGGAGGGGTTGGTGTGGTGCTTTATACAGGCAGACAAGGTTCTTTGGGTAAATCCGATATCTTTTATTAGACCAACTTTATATAGGCAACTTTGCAGAGTGATAGCTTATCTGGGCTGTTTCTGAGGAGCATGTTTCTAGTTGGGATTTAATGATTAACTCTAATGGGTTCTAAAGAACTAACGAGAGATTGCTGCAATGTATGGTATTAGTAGCAACGCACATCAGGACAGGATGTGCTGAGTTGTTGACCACCCGTCCCCGAGGACTGCCCACCATTAACAACTGTTAGCTTATCAATTTGGTGTAATGTCCCAGTATGGTATGAGGGGCTACACACAGTGCATCTTATACAATGTTGTTTAATTTCTACTATAAAAAAAAGGACAGATCAACACAGCTCAGCATCACAGTCACCTAAAGGAGGATGTCATGCAAGTGCTAACGCTGTTACTCCCCTATAAGTGAACTCTTCTGCACGGGTGACCAGGGATCCCAGCTCTTCCCCATCTAGGAACTGCACCCCTCTTACTATTGCTACCATATCTCCTCCCTTGGCTCTTGCTAGACTCGACTATCTCCCTTGTCTGCTCAGCCTGGGCTTGCAGTCTGTAAATTCTTGGGGAGGGTCATTTACTACATCTGTACAGAAGCTGGCAGAACAGGGCAACGGCCTGCTTGGCTTCAGCGGTCTCACAACACAAATATTAGGCATAACCATAGCCTTCAGCAAAGCCAGGTTTCCTCCAAGCTGGATCGTGCCCCAGTCAGTGTGGATGTGGTGTACTCGCCAGCACGTGGTACAGGGACACAGCCCCGATGGGCAGTCTGGGATGGCAGGGCTATGCTTTCGCTGCCCCGCCGCTCGGACTTGAGTCCTCCGGGGCTCCAGCAGACCACGGCTCCACAGAGCAGGCCGTCAGGGACTCGTGATACAACATCGCGCCGGGCCTGCGGTAGTGCGGAAAGGCCGTCCTGCTAGCCTAACATTTCACCTTCAGCGCTGAGCTGTGCCAGGTTCGCTGCAAGCCGGCAGCAGGCCACCAGAGTATGTCACAGTGGGGAGGACAGGGCGATGAACAGCAACTCGAGCCAGGTTTGCGATCGACTGGGTGTCTCCCATTTGCGGGCACGGGCGGCTGAGTGATGAAAACATGCAAAGGAGGGGAGGAAAAGAGGGCTGCCGTCTCTTTATTACAGACAGAGAGAGCCCAAACCCTACAATCAAACACCCACAGGCCCAGAAGAGTCAGGAACCCAGATTCCAACCTGAATTTTTGGGCGTGGGCACCTTTAGAAGTAAAGTTCAAGGGAAAGGCCCAGGAAAGGAGTGCTAATTTGGAGAGAGGGCTCTTATCTCCAGATAAGTGCACTCAAGTCAGCTTGCCGTGAGTGCGGAAGTTCCTTGCCAAATCTCACTGGGAAAATACCCATCCCACGTGCCTCGTCTTGCTACCGACGTTATTTAAAAACTAAATATTTAATCGTCCGAATCGCTGTTGCAAAGCAGCCTGGCCCCACCCGCCCAGCCCTGCCACCTCCCTGCACATTGCTTTTTGTTGTTGTTGAGCCCAACCGACTCGGTCTCGTCGAGCCAGTTCGACGGCAACCCGACGGGCCGCCCGTCAGCTCCACCGATCCTCTTCGGCTTCGACAGAGAGGAAGTCGTTTTGGAAAACTCAGCTCCCAACTGAGGATTTCTTTTCCTTTCCTTTCCCAGAACAGGCGGGATGCAGGATAGAAATCCCAGAATAGGTTTCCAGAACAGATTCAGCTCTCGACTAGAATTCGCTTCCCCTTCGGAAAGCTGCTTCTCAGCCCCCATCCACGGCCGCTCCTCGGCTCCGTCGCTGATTGAGGGTGGAGGAGAGCAGCTGCCAGGTCCTCCCGCAGAAGTGGGGACAGAAGCGATGCAAGGTGTGCTGCCAGGATCCCACGCCAAGAGCTTTTCCGATGAAGCGCTCTGCCTCTCCACCCCGTGGTCACATCCTGCAGTGGCCGGCAGCTGTCGGACGACAGCTGTTCCTTTTCATCTGCCTCATTCAGTTTGCAGGCATTTTATCAGCGCAATTAAAATAACTGACTGCTGTGTATTGCTTGTGGATTGCCTTCCTGCAGTGATAGCTGGGGCTGTGCCTGCCAACTCTCCATAAATTATTTGCGTTGACTTCGCATAGCATTTGGCAAGGCTTGGGCTCATGCTGTGCTCGAACACTGAAGTTGGTGACTGCAAGGATGCAGGTGGGCGTATCAGGAATATGCCATAAAGGGGACTTTGCTGTTGGACTGGATTTTCCACGGCAGGCACTCAGATACAGCAGTGTTTGGCACGAGTGTAAAACCTCAGGGTAGACAGGCCTAGTGTTCTTCAGGTACCTGGGACACTTGAGAAGTCGCATACCTATTTTCTCTCTCTCACCTCCCCCAGTTATCCCAGGCCAAGAGCTCGCCCTTCTAAGTCAGGAGGAAACAGCAAGAGAAATTAGGTCCATCGCCCAGATCTGAATCAGAGAAGTCAGGAAACTTCATCTCAGTTGTGCAGCTCAGGCCCCCGTCTAAATAAAATTACTCACTGTAGAAGCAAACACTGAAGCTCCAATGTCTGATCTCTGAAGAAATTTGCTTGAAATCGTTGCCTGGGAAGAGAGGGATTGCCAGATTACACCTGCCAGATCAGACTCTTGCCTTTGACTGAGGCCACTGCTCCCTGCTTCACAGTAAGAAACAATGACCCCTACACTGGACAAGCATGAACTAACTAGGACAAAGAGAAAAAGTCTTGCTAGCCCAAGGCAGACTGTATTTAGTGTATGTCCTGGTGCCCAAGGGTGTCAATTCTCCATTATCTTCTCATTCTTCATGTAAGCGGCTCACTTTTTTTTTAAATCTCTTTCAGCTTAAAACATGATTCTGGTTGAATGAGTTTATGTATGGGCCTGCCCATGTCATGATGGTTAAAACATTGTCATAAAGACGTATGCCCGATGAAGGGCGAGTGTGCCCGAAAGCTTGCAGATAAATACAATAATTGGTTTGCAAATATCTAGTTGGTTTAATAAAAGATACCACCTCTCCCGTGAGTTTTAATTCTTTTTGCCTCTAGACCAATACGGCTACAACCTGGAGAGACAGCTCTTATCTTATCTAACTCACATGCCTTCTGAGTTATCTTCCTTATCTCATCTCTTATCTCATCTCTTATCTAACTCAGATACCTTCTGAGTTAGAAGAAGTCTGCCGGCCTCTCAAATTGGGAAATTCTGGTGACATTTTACACTCATTTAACACCTGGAACAAAACACTTCAAAACTTCCCGGCAAGAAACTCCTGGGACAGGCTGGGAGGTTGTGTGTTTGGGTCCACCTGGTGGCAGTGCTCACACACCCGAGAGGGACCTGAAGTGCTGAATTCAGCTTTGACCCAGCAGCACCGTGCAACTCGGGGCAGTGCCGTCTCCTGCCCAGAGCCAGGGGGCACCCAAGAACTGGTGACCAGCGTGCTTTGGAAAGAAAGTAAATCGCAATATGCTGCAAAGGTCAGATTCAGCCCTTGTGAAACAACAGATTGCATTCAAAGTAATCTGGTGAAGGCCGATGGAGTCCCACTCATATCGCAGCCTCCTTTTCTGCAGGGCACAAGTTGACATTATTGATTATGAATAAGCTTTCATACTGGATCCCAGCCCAGAAGTTTGTCTCGGGACCTAGAGCACAGTTAATGTTTTGCTTCTTGTATTGATTGCTGGCATTCAGTCAAGGCCCTTTCATCCTGGAGAACCTAACAGCATTTATAGGCTGCTGTGAACCGAGCCCCTGCCGTGTGCTGTTCTCTCCGGTGCACAAAAGGAACATGGCTTTGTCCCCAAAGAGGTTTGTAGTCTAGCATGCAAGCTGCTGGAATAAGCTCCCTGCTGTTCTACAGAAAGCAGAAAGCGTTTGAAAGGGATGGCACTAGTTATTCTGGCGTCAGAGCATTTGCAAGCCTCTGCTTCTGCGGCTTTTCCTAGCACTGTTCCAGACTCAGAGAGGTGTTAGCAGGAGCAGATGAGCCTCCTTGGAGAATTGAGGCAGGTGACTTCACTGCCTAGAAGCAGCTCATTTTTCACAACTGACTTAGCAGGTGTCTCCCATGAATGCCACGACAGGTCCCCGGTGTCTATGACCATTCAGCAGCACTTTACCCAGTAGGGTGCTCTGAGCATCATATGTACATCAGCAACCATATTTATTGTGTATGCCCAGAGGTCGGAGGCAGTATTAATCACCTTGTGCCCTGCTGCTGCTCCATCCAGCTACCTTTACAGCTCATTAGCAATGAAATGCTTCAAGGAGCATTTACAGTCACATTAGATTATATGCCATTTATTCAGAGCCTACCAAATTTGCAAGGAAAATCAGATACCTGCAAGTCCTGGATACTTTGTGCACAGATATCAAGGTAACAGGCTCTTCAGGTAGCTGGATTTTTTTTTTTTTTTAAGGAATTTTTTTCAAGCCCAAGTCAGCCAAATCAATTCCAAATCCATCAGTCATTCAAGAGCCAAATGTGGCCCTGCTACCAGCAAGCATCCTCCACCCCCACCTGGGGCTTCAGATGCTCCCAAATCCTTTGATGGGCATCCTATGTGCCTAGAGGCTTGGGATTTGGATGCCCCCGAGTTTTGCTTGCCCAAAGTCATATGGCCGCAGGAGCAAGCTCGAGAAGGAGTCTTCCATTTCCATAAAGTCAGCATATAGCTGAGATCTTTCCACTGGAAGTGAAAGTGGGAGGTTAGCTATGCAGTACCTTGGTCAGGGTGCTACCCCCTGCCACCTCCGTGGTCTTCCCCAGCCAGTAGGAAATCCACCTTGGTGGTCACAGCATTTCCCCTGCCAGGTAGCTGGATGGACAGACAGTTACCCTGTGGGAGAGGTGGAGCCAGCAAGGGATCAAAGTGCATAGACGGCACTATGATGTTCACACTAACACAGTCACAGGTTGTCGGGGGGTCCTGGCTTCAGTGATCACTCAGAGCCAAGAAGCCTGGAAGAGGCCTGCTTCGTGCAGCTGGAGTGGTGCGCACTCAGCACTGTGCAGCGCCAGCCTCCGGGTGACACAACAGTAGATCCCAACACCCACCAGCCAAAGGCTCCTTCGAGGCCCCTCGCTGACAGAAAGGAAGAGCAGCTAAGAAAGGCTGTATGAAGTGGAGGGCAAGCAGTAGGTGGGGGATTGCTTCCTATGACTCACTCCCATTGGTCGTTTTTCTGCCACGCTCCTTTTTTCCACTTCTTCAGGCAGTGAATCGTGCCGTTTTCTGAAGCGAAGCCAGCCCCGGCGCCACGGATGTCACCGGTCGTGTCGCCTCCGTGTTTGTGCTTGACAGAGCACAGAGTCTGCATCGGGATCAAGCCAGCATCGGACGATGTCAAATCCCTGAGAAAGCGCTCTCAGCCTGCTGTTGGCCACACAGCCTAGACTAGATACCCCAGCTCATTCCTTCCCCTGCCTCTCTGCTGAGTGCATCAGCCTGCAGCGAGGTCCCAGCTGCCGGGGCTGGGCTGCCTCTGGGGCCAAAGCTACCTACAGTGACATCCCTGCAGTCGGTCTCACAGCAGCCGAAGGCCCACGTCCCAAAACCGCCCTGGTCCTCAGCCTCAGCTGGGACAGTAATGACTAAAGAAACCTTGGTGTCTGCACGGCTTGCACATCCCCAGAGAGACCTCAGGGCTCAGGACTAACAGGTGGAGCCACTGGCCAGAGACAGAGAGGGAAGCCAGCCCTGCTTTTGCCCTTGCTGGACTTGTTAAATGAGCAAAAAGAGGGGAACATCCCTCTCTCAGGCAGAGCCTATTACCTCAATCCACATGCAGGTTTTTCTGGGCCCCTCTCCCAGCCGTTCTGTTGCAGCCCCTTCCCTCGCCCCCCATGCTGCGAGAGAGAGCGCTTGCGGAGGGCCTGATTGCTAGGCAGACAAGGGTTTGGGGGTAAATCCGATATCTTTTATTAAAAATACAGAATCTTTCATCTAAAAAAACCCCAAAACCTCAGTAAAACCCTACCTATGTCCTTAGACCAACACGGCTACAACCTACACCCCCGATGGCTAGGCAGAGCACTAGGTTTCATTTATTGCATTACATAAATTAATAGAAACCATATCCCTTTCCCTTTGCTTTTTTTTAGCAGGCCCGTGCAGCTCTTTCAGGATGTTGGCACAGTTTCTTTGCACTTCTGGAAGAAATTCTGGGTCTTTGGAAAATTCAGGGGAAATCCCAGGGAACAAGTCCGTCCGCCGGGCCGCAGGGGGGCAGTGCCGTTCCACAGCTGAAATGCAGCATGCCTCCGGGCACAGCCACAGACTGGCTTGCTCTCGTGGCCTGTGTTTGCAGCTCTCTGCACATGTAGTATGTACACAGCTTGTGATATTAGGGGCTTCCTGTGGTAGGAGGAAGAGAGAAGGCAATTCTGGGGTCCCGTTATTCATACTGTGATCCACAGACGGATATCCGTTCCCACTCCCCCAGCTACAGCGCTAGCTACGCTGACCAAGTTGTTTGTCAAATCAACAGATCTTGAATTTCAGACTCTCTGGCTTTGCTCAATCCTGTGCAGACCTAAGATGATCTCCACGTGTCTTTTGGTCTGGATGTTAATGACTGTTTAGGTTACACTGCATCGGGGTGAGCAAAATGCAGCCCGCCAGGCCATTCTATGCAGCCCGTGGGGCCCCTAAAACATTTAGAAAAGTAATATTTATCTGCCCTGGGCTGCCTGTCATGCGGTCCTCAATGGCTTGCCAAAACTCAGTAAGCGGCCCTCTGCCCAAAATATTTGCCTGCCCCTGCACTAGATGATCATGGCTGCTTTCTGGATGCCTCAGAAGTCTGCAGTTTTCACGTTCCTTGCTATGCAACTGTCAATTGATGCAATAAAATAATGCTGTCGAAAACGCAAATTAAAATATGAAGGCAGATAAGACACATGATGGTTATTGGTTGCCACAGACTCGACCTTGTGTTGCATATGCTGATCTAAGCTGATTGTGCTTTGAATCCGTTTCATAGGTCCTGGGTCAGTAAAAAAATCCCAAAAACAGTATATGTGGTGCCATACAAGTGTCATTAAAAAAATCCATTACTGGGAAGAAGGATGATGTATTGCAAGATGACACCCCAACTGGAAGGTGCAAAAGGCTTGGGCTGACTTGCCACCAGGGAAGGACAGAGCGACACCATTGCTGATACCGCAGAAAATCAGCAGGAGGGGAAAATGTGGGAATATTTGTCCATCGCTGAGATGAGGGGGTCAGAGCAATAAGCTGTCACCACTGCAGCAGGCTTCTTCAAGCAAATCAGACCCATTGCTGTGAGATCGGTTCTACAAACAGTGTTGCTAGCAAATCTGCCTTTGAAGGTAGAGAGAGGGCAAAGGCAGCCTAGGGAAATAACAGGAAGAGGCTGGATACTGCCAGTGTGAACAGGACCTGCTCCGCCAGTGCTAAGGCCAGCCCTGGAGGAAAAAAGGCATGACCATTGGCACCCCACAAGTGCAGTTTACCTTGAAACAACTGAATTACCTACTGCCCAGTGGCAGAGGCCATCCCTTTGGTGGCTTTAATACCGAGAACAAAAGGGGCAGTTCAGTTTTTTAAAGAAAACTTCCTTTATTTCCTTCATGCAGCTGCACCGAGACCTTCATGACGACATGTGAGGCAGCAATGGCTCACACTTCACCATGGCCCTTGCTGTTTCTGTCCTGTGGGATATTGAGAGGACTTCACCCCCCCAGGCTGCCAACCCAGCGCCTCTCTCGGCACAAAGTTCACTCAAATCATTTAAGGAAGGAGAGGCGATCAAATGGGATGCCCGCAGGATAGCTGATACCACAACTGAAATGAATTACTAAGAGTACTTAAGAAATATTTTGGCTTTGCCCTATCAGAGGCAATACAATTATTATAAGGGTGACCTTTGTGCATATCCAACACGGGGGGAGAAGGGGATAAATAAGGGGAAAGCTAAGAGGTGTCAGTCAGGTGGCCAGCATTGTCTCCAGGATGCGTGTCCGGGGCTGAAGGCTGGGAAGACATGATGGATGGGGGGGGTTACAGAATTGGCCAGCACCTGTTTCTTGCATCCTTCCTCCACAGCATCTGCTACTTGCCATGGTTGGAGACAGGATACCAAGCTAGGTGGACCTTTGGTGTGACATCTATGTTCTTATTACTGTGGACTGCAGGTTTCTGGACTTATCTGTAGTATTTCCATAGCCCCAGCTATGGTAGTATCAGAGCATCTCGCAGCCCCCACCCTGCAAGGCAGGAAAGTGTGATTTCATTTCCTATTTTGCATGCCAGTACCTAGGGCCCAGAGAAGCTAAGTGGCTTGACAGCATCCTGCAGGAACTGATGTCAGAACGAGGATTTGAGCTCAAGTCTCTCATTCAAGCCCAACCAGCTACACTGTCCTTCCTCAGTAACGCTGCCAGAGGAGGGCTCTGATGAGAATGGAAAACTGGCCCGAAGTTCAAATTTCTCAGGGGACTGAGCAGTTGCATGTGCTATTAACTGACAGGATGGGAGGAGGACATTGCACTTTTGCTCAGGGCTGCTCAGGGGTGTCAGTAGAAGGCTGTAGACTGAAGGGAGAGCAGGGATTGCAAAACAAGTGTTTACCTGCAGCTTTGCCCACAGCTTTTGACTGAATGGGCCTTGTAGATCAAGCTCCCTTGTGACCCCAGAGCTGGGCTCCTGTACAGTCAGGTTGAGGCTGGTGAATAGGAACGAAGCTTGCACTGTTGGGCCATAGTTCATCTCCATGCCAGTGTGGGTGTAGAGTCAGAAAGCAGACTGCGACTCTCCTTTGCTGGGGTGACCCCCAGATGCAAACCGGAGCACCCTTAACGACTGCAGTGCAGCTGCCATTGCTAATGATCTATTGTAGAATAGCCAACACCATGCTTCTGCTTCCGGTGGGGGGATCATCAATCCAATCCATTTTTGGAGGTGTGAACGTGAAGTGCACAAGGGATGACTGCACTCTGCGACTGCCAGGCCATGTCTCTCGCTTAAGCCCCAAATTCCCCTCTGCTCTATGCAGAAGTGGTATCATCTCGTTGCTTCTCCCTGTAAGCTGTTGGGCTCAGAAATGCTGAGGCATGAACTCCAAGTTCAAAGGAAACATTGTGCATATTAAAGAGAGGAACTGTATGTTGTTCCCAGCTTCCTCTTCCCTGCATCTCAGTGGGGTCTCTTGCTTGCAAGGGTTTTGGATCAAGCCTTTTAGAGAGACCACCCTGAGCACTATTACAGCAGGCAGAAGTCACGCTCCAGCTACTCCCTCTTTTAAGGTGCGGATAGTCTTCCGAAAATTGCCCCCAAATCAGTATTGCATGAGTGTGATATCAGTCATATGACAAAAGGGTCGAACAGGCGCAGTTACAAAGCAGGCCACAGAGCCAGCAACACGATGCACACCTAGCACCGCAGGTCTGAACGTACGATCAGGCAGTCGATGATCGTGGACACAGCTGCCCTCTCACGTGGCCACGCACCGCTGTGGTTGTAGTTCTTGACTGGAACAAGGGAATGCTGCTTTCTGTGACCTGCCTTGTTGCTGTTGCTGTAGAGGGCCCAAAAGGCAGTAAATTCCTCCCAGCTGTTTTGTGGGACTGATTTCTTCAGCTGCGACTCCACGGTGCGCAAGGCACTTTACTGCAGAGGCTCAAGCTAGGGTCTCTCGGCAGGTGTGGCAGAGTGGTGAGGAAAATTGAGTCTCCACGACCATGAGTACCTGACCTCCTGATCGCATGGAGACCACCAAATGCCTTGGACTTGGAGGTCCTTCCTCATCTCTTGTCCCATCTCAGTCCTTGCACCACATGACTTTGGTCTTCTAAAGGGAGCCCTGGGAGGAAGACGATCCCATGATGGTGGTGCAAAATACTTCTTCAGGACCTGCCTGGAAGAATGGCCTCAATGCATGCTGGCAAAAGTGCATTAACATGAAGGAAGACTGCACAGAACTGCAGCCCAATGACTTTTGCCAATGGGCTACAATGGAAATGTACTCGAGAATGATGTCCTGCTACTTTTTGCTTGCCCTTCGCAGGTACCAGCAGCTTGGCCAGCGCCCAGCATTGCAAAACTCACAGTATCCTTCCAGAAGTGACTAGTGATTGGGGAACCTCAGCCTGATACCTTCAAGGGGCCTCACTCTCAGAAGGAAGGTGCTCGGTGCTGGGTGAAAATCCAACCTTTTAGCATATCAAAGTTGTGCGCCAAAAATCAGCTGCCACGTTTATAAAATGTAGGGCCTGTGGAAGATCCTACAGAAGGACGTGGAAGGCACAAACCCGAGGTGAGAGGAGAACGGTTGTGCATCCTAGGAGAAGAGCTAGGAGCAAGAGAATGAAATTAAGGAGAAACTTCCAAGATGCATATTGGGAGGTAGCATTTAGGAGCTGGAGAAATTAGCACAGGAATGGGGCCCGAGCACAGCTGGAAACCGCAAACAAAGCTAGAGCAGGCTCTAAGCGGTGCCTGGTCTTTGCAATGGCTCCTTTTCACAGAGCTGAATATTACCCTGCCAGGTCTAGCAGATGGTGAAGCAAAGTCCTAGGAGAAGGCATTTCAATTCTGGTTCTGAGGGAATTTAAAATGAATAGAAGCAAATGTAAGAAATAAGGCATATAAATATCTTTGCTCATCGCATACTACAGCCCAGATGAATTGTGGACAAAGTTTTCATTTCTTACGTCAGAGGGGCAAACCCCTGCAAAGCTCACTCACTCAGACCCCAAGTCCACACTAAGGGAAACCGAGCACGGAAGAACTGGCCCCTGGGCTTCCACCAGCAACAAACCTTTTGAATATGCATTTTCCCAATCCCCTCTGCGAAAATAGGAGAGATCAGGAAAAAAAAAAAGTCAGGTTGGGGCAGGTGATCTTAGACCTTGAGTTTTAAACTTTATTGTGTTCAACTAGGCTTAGGAAGAGAGTAAGATAAGGAGGAATGAGTTTGGGGAATGTCTCAAGGTCTGGGAACAGATAACACCACAACTCTTTATAACGAGCAGTCCCCAGCCCCTGCCGGCTCTTCCAGGAAAACAGATTCCCACAAAGACCAAGAGGTAAATTATGTAGGATTATTGGGGAAATGTTACTTAAGGGGACAGCCAGCAGTAGATGGCTGCTCTTGACTGCCAGATCTGTCAGAGCCAACTAGCAGGAGTCAGCATCTCCCATTGTTAGCCCTGTCGTGAGTATCTGATAAAAAGCTTGTGACTGTCATTACTATTTCAGGGTAACTGCTTTTGCAGCTAGTCTGAAGACTGCACAGTAGCAACCTGGTTGATGTCACTGTATAAAGGTTGCCCTAAATGTTTGGGTCTTAGTAAAGGAACGGTCAGTTGAATTATGGCTGTGGTCTAGCACGTTCCTAATACCCTCCCCTCCTGATGCTTTGCCCCGGGGGAAAATGCCTGGGCTGTATCCATCTCAGGAAGAGGCACTGAACTTCACCTTTCAGAGCTGCCAACTCAGTGCTTTTCCCCAGCACTGGCTTCATTCAAATAATTTACCGAGGGAATGCTGCGGGCTTGGTTCCCCTCTCCGACACAGGGGTTTGACTCCATCAATGTCCGGTGAGTCCAGCTGCGTTGCCTCTGATTTTCACTGGCGGATGTTGCAAATGTTCATTGTGCAGTGGCTTCTGTAGTGCCACAGCTCTGCAAAGACTATCACTGCAGACAGGGACAAATTAGTCTAAAGGTCTGAGCCCTAGTCCTGAAGCTACCATGCTGGATCCCCTACAAGCGTGTTCAAGAACCCCGTCCAATGCAAAACCAAGCATTTCGAGTTTCTAAGCCAGGGACAGTGATTGTGTGGGTCCAGAGGACTGTGTATATCTCCTGGTGTCTTGTGCCTCTGCTCCCTGAAGAGCTTTGTTCTGAACCTGGCAGGGAACAGGAGGTTCATTTCTACCGCGTTGCCATCTACGGGAGTAACGGGTGGCATTGGGAGGTAAGTAATTGCACATTTATTGCACTGATTCAGCACCGCGCAACAGAGATTATCACCGCTATTGAACTAATCGCAAGATCTGCTTAATGGAGTATTTGTCTTCAGCTAACAGGAATCCACAATGCTTCACAGATTTGCAACTAATATGCACTCGGGTTTTCAAAGTGCCGCGAAACACGAGCAATAGGCAAGATCAGGATCTTTATAATCATTTTGCCACTAAAAGAAACTGTGCCCTCGGACAGACGCTACCAACTCTGCCATGAGTCTCAGCATTTTAGGCTATCTGTTGCATCGCTTGGTCTTACAAACTCACCATAGCTACTTTTCCCTTAATGAAGGCAGTTTGTTCTGAGCTATGTGGAAACCGTGTGCATGAATAACACCTTCGTTGTTCTTCAGCTCCCAGAAGGAAGTGAGTATGTTTGTTTACTGTATCTTCCCACAAATGTGCATTGAAAGTACACGTGAAGCTCACTTTGGACTAATAGCCATAATAACCGTGACATTATCAATGGCTACTCACTGTTCACATCCATATAGAAAGCCTTGGTTTTTCTATGTTAAATAGGTTTTCTTTGCTGTCCCCATTCCCCAAATCTGCATTAACACCATCAAACATGCAACAGATAAAACATACCACAACAAAATAATACCATGTCTGGGTTACAGAATTACAGGGAGGGGAAGTGGGGAACCTCATATGTATTGGCTGCTCCATGGTAAGAGTTTGTGTGTCTGCTCTCCTCTATTGGAAGTGGAAGCTAACCGTAGAGGCACCCATTTCTTAATTCCTGCGGGAGACAGCAAACATACAAAACAGTTGCAGCAGATCAGCTTCATGGACAGTAAGTTCTTCTCTGTCTTAACCTGGTGTAATTGTTACATCTATCCGTAAGATAAGATAATGAGCTGACCCCGAAGAAGTTTTCAAATGTCCACAGAAAAACGATATTATGCCACTCTGCTTTCCCAATCCTTATCTGTTCAGTCAAGTGGACATTCAGTTCAATTGGGCTATGTTGCAATGCTCTGATATTTTCTTCCATTAGCATGACTTTAAGAGACTGGTCTGGAATCAGAAAACCGCCATGTCATGCATAGGCACATGCAGTTTTCATGCCATTGAGACTGCAACTCACAGGTAACATGGGAGTCACTGAAGATCTTTGAGTGTCTGATATGCTCATCCATCTCCATTTCTTTTTGTCCTATGTTTGTGCAGCATCTAGCACAATGGGCTCTTCGGCTGCAGCTGGGCCTCTAAGGTGCTACTACATTACAGCAATAATCATGTTGATGTTAGGACCTTCCCCTTTGTCTGAGCAACAGAGTGTTTTGGGGCTGGGGGAGAGAAGGATGCACCAAGTTTGATTCAAAGAAGCTAATAAATTAATTCACATTAGAATACTGCTTTGGAATACATAAAGTGAGCTTGAGCTCATGAAAGCTTGTGCTAGATATAGATGTAGATATATGGATCTTATTTAGTTAGTCTATAAAAGGTGCATATCTAGCCTAACACAGTTAACTACCTCTCTCTGCTCTTGCAATATAGCCCCAGAGCTGTGCACGAGACAGAATGAGATTTACGGAGCTGAATGGACTAGTACTTTGTGCTAAAATTTTCACCGGTTTCCCAGACTGCTGGAAATTCCCCTCCTAGCTGCTAGCTCTCTCTGATCAGAGCCTCTACATTTTTTTCAATGACATCATTAGTATCTGAGGTCATCAAAAGGGTTGCATACAAAAGGACAAGACTGCAAGTCCCATGCGCAGTGTGCTGATGGTCGCTCCATCACTCCATTAAGGGTCCTTGATCACTTCTGGTCTTCTTGGTGGTGTGAATCTGTGACGACGGCCAAGAGCCATTAAAGAGGACTGGATCTGAGAAGAGAAAGCTGGGCAAATACTAACGGTGCTGGAAAGATGGGAGCTCTGTAAATCCAGCTCGAGACACAGCATGGAAGAAAGCCTGCAGTAGAGAGCCATTTTAGCCTATGGTAGGTAAAGCACACTTTAAAAGTTGGTATACAGGGCAAAGTGCTAACCTAGTAGCAGTCTGTATTCAGGAGAAGCTCTACCGGAGAGTCCCAGGGGACACTTGCTGCTATGCTTTTGAGTTCAACTCACCATTTGCTCTGTCTGGCACTGCTTCCTTCAAGTCTGGCCAGCCGTCACTAAACTATATTTCTAGACTATGAAAACAGTGCTGGACTAAGTGTGAGGATAGAGAGACCTATAGCAATAGATGGAGCATTGTAAGCACCTATAATGGCATTTTTAGTGATTATTAAAAAGCAGTAACTGAGTTTGTTGATATTCTGCTAATACACACTACAGCAAGACTGAAAAGAGTGAAAGCAGCTAAGATAAGCCCAAGCATGTGTGCTGTCTATAATGCTTGCAGCTGCCCGCTCCAACTAAGGCAGCTGAACATCCAAGCCCTCCTCCTCCTGTCTTTGCATCTTCTCTTGCTTTCTGCTTCTTACTTCTTTACCAGTAAGAAGGAACTGGTGCTCAGCAGTAGCATAATGAATGGTGGGTGATAGGGCAATCGGTCCCATGTGCCCACTTAGAGAGGGCACATGAATGGCAGCTGCTGCGCCCCTAATGAACAGGATGCAGTGGCAATTGTCAAGGGTTCACGAGGCAGGCTAAAGTCCTGCTCGCCATCCACAGCTGCATTGCAAAACTCAGCAAGATTAAAAAGAGCACTCAGCACCCGCAGCACAAAGATGCTCCAAGAGAGGAGGCACTGAATAACAAAGAGCTACTTCTATATCATTGTGTTTTCCTCCCTTTCCTGCATTAAGCAAGGCCACTTCAGCCACAAAATAAAAGGATGCCAGTTTGCTAGGGGGTGCGGTACTGCGTGCATGGGTAGGATGGCTAAGCCAGCTTTCAGCTCTTGGGCCATATTCAGTCTGAGTGCTTTGGATCACGTGTAAGGTCCTTTGGAAAATGGCATTTTACTGAGGAAGAGCAAATGAGAAAATGTTTCAGCAGCTCAACTATAGCTCACAAACTGGCTTACATCCTTCCCTGAATCCTGACACAGGACAGGGCTGTAGATTATCCTTTTATAAAAAAAGTAGAACACCTTGAGACGGTGACATTAATATGTATTTCAGGTCCTTTCAGCATTTTTGTTAAATCACTGGTATTGTCTCGATGGTATGAAAAGAAAGATTATCTTTGAACTCGATGGCAAAGTATTGCTCTGTAACTATACAACCCATGTACAAGATCTCAAAAGATCACAGCGATGTTCTCCTGCAGGCCTGGCAACCAACTTCTAATGACAGAGAAAAAGGAATTATGGATTTATACTTATGTTAAAGGACTTAATTGGGCTGACCACAAAGGTCAGTTTAGCTCAATGAAACGTGCTTTCTGGTCTCATTTTAAGACAGAGCACTATTAAAACTTTCTGTTTAAGGAAGAAACACTTGATCAGTGCTAAGTGCCCGAACATCGGGTTTCCACACCAGTAGGGTAGATGACAGCCCAGGCAATGGAGCAGAATTTCTTTCTACTTCTGCGGTGTCAGAACTTCACCCAATATCCGCACCCCCAAAAGGAGGAACAGATGGCAAATGCTAGCTCAGCTATAACAGTGTATGCCAGGAAAGCTAAGATGTCGTTCTTGCTAGTTCCTGAAAGTAAGCTGAACAGGAATAGCTGTTGTAAGGTGTTCTTAGCAAAGGATCTTAGCCCCAAGCAGGTGCCGATATTGGGGGTCAGTCACCATGACACAAGTTAAGCCACCACTTTTGGATTCAGACGCTAACCTTTGGGCAACCTTGAACTGAGGTGCAAATCAGGGTGGAATTTTGTACCGCTGGTCTCCCTCTGCTTACAGTACTTTTGGCACTAACTACCAGGCTACTGCTGCCAGAGTCATTTTGCAATGTCAGACTTTACAGAGGAGGGGACCAAAGTCCGGTCACATTGAAGTCAGTGGGCACTGACACCAAATGCACCATGTTTGATCTAGTTATGATGTCTCCCATTGGCACTGCCAAAGGCAGAGGAGACCTTTGTGATTCTCCGCTGTGACCACTTGCATAGCACAGACCAAACAGCCTTGGTGAGATATCCTCACTGCATGACCTGGCGCTCCCTTTCCCATATGACTAGCCACTATCAGTTGGACTCTGAGGCAGCTGAGCTGCACGGGGGGTCAGAAACCCTGTCTGATGGCAGCAACAAGGCTTATCTGCTATGGATAAAAATGAATTTGAGTTTGTGGTGGGCTTTGAAGGCTCCTTGAGAAGCTCATTATTTGTGCAGCAAATCTCGGTGCCCCAGAGAAGAAACAGAGAGAAACTAAATGACACAAACCGGCGTCCTAGGGACCTCTATTTGGTGTCTGGTTTATTGGAAGCGAGGCGTTAACATGCAGATGACCCCTAATTTACATTTCAGCAGACTCAGCACAGCCAACTCACTCTCTGGCCTAAATAAAGTGCATTTCCCCAGCCCCATCTTACACAGTTCCCTTGTCCTTCCAGTGTTGCAAGAATAAGGACTGAGGAGGAACTGAGGTCCCGGGCTGGGCAGCCTAGCTGACGCCTGCTGCTGTTGTGATCTGGGTGGAAACGCGCACGCTACCAACAGGGCAGGCAGCTGGGGGGAGGCAGGGGGTGGGAAGCAAGCCAGTGCATCCACCTAGCCCAGCTCTTTGCAGTTCCCTGCAGCCCAGGGCCACTCTCAGCAGCTTCCGACCCCTGTAAGAGGTGCTCTTCCCTTCCTCGTTGGCTTAGGGCCCGATCCGAGCTCCACTGCTGCAAGCTGAGGGCAGGTTAGAGCCTGCCCTGCCATTGGGAAGTGTCTAGTGGTGCCGAGATGGACGATCCCAGCTGAGCTCCATCGTTGCAGTTGCGCTTCCTCGTCACGCCGCACGCTGCTCTCCCGAGCTTTACCGGGGTCCCGGCCAAGGAATGATCCAGACGAGGTCAGTGGGGGTATCGCAGTCCATTTTAACACAGCCAAAGAAAACCAATCCATCATTTTTCTACCCGCCTGCTTATTTTTAACAGCTCGTGCACGTGCTCTGCTTGGTTGCTGGAGCAAAATGAAGGCAGAGAGAGGCAGTCAGGCTAATGGTGAGAGCACAGGCCTAGCAGTCCACATTCCTGGGCTCTGTGCTTCATTCCTAGGCAATTCATTTCACTGCCCCGCTGTTGCTTGTGTCTGCAAGATGGTGATATCACTGGCCCACCTCCCAAAAGCCTTTGTGTAGAACTGTGCTTTACAGAAGAGTGCGCTAATTTGCTTCTCGTAGCTGAAGGCAGGTACTCATTCACGTCCTAGGTACATCTCTTTGACACCCCAGTGGGATAGCAGTTCCCTAAAGCGTTTCTAAGCACACGAGCAAGCGCACGTGGAAGGAGTAGCTTACACAGTTTACAGCTGGTTTCAAATGCAGGTGACTTAACCTCTTCAGTGCCCCGGCTTTGCTACCTGAAATGCATGCAGGTCGCTCGTGGGGACCTGGGGAAATGCCCTGCGGTAGGGGCTGAGATTTCAACCAAGCTGAGTGTTGAGCAACTGTCAAGCAAAGAGTTGCACCAAGGACTATTCAGATTGAAACACTTAAGCAATCAGAAGTGAATTTTTAACTCGGGATGAGGAAGTGAATCCAAGCGCCGAGCACGGAGCTCAACTCACAAACAGTGTCTCGCTTAGATCCGTAATTGGCTGCACAGATGTCCCAAAAGTGCCACCGAGAAGTGTATGGGTTGGAAAGAGGGGATGTTGTTTCCAGCAGGTCTGAAGCGGGACAGACAGCCGCCGCTGGGGAGGGGACTTCTGGGGTTCCCCAGACTACCAACAAATTTGCCTGCATCTTCCTTCATCTTCTGCTATTGTTTGCTGAGCTGATAAAAATCTTGCACTCTGTCTAGGATTTTGGCTGCCCAAGGCCTCAGAGGCCAGCTGCAGCCTCGGGGCAGGCGCGCCAACTTCTAGAAAAATAAATTATTAACTTCAGTGGCTAAATTGGACACGCTCCAGCCCAGAGGTCTCCTCCAGTCAGCTCAGTGCTGGGGCAGCCTCCCACCCCCGCGGGGCACAGTGACCCCAGCACTGCCTGGAGAGTGAAGCCCCAGTTCAACCGCTGATCCATAAGGTGACCAAGCCCCTCTCCGTTCTCTGAGCCTCAGTTTTCCCCACCTATAAAAATGGCAATAATGTGAGCTGGTAAAGCATTTTCAGATCTGTGAACAAAAATGCTTACAGAGCTAGTTGTCATTACCAGGCTCCACTCCTCCCCCTCAGCACCACTTATTCCTTGCCAGCACTCTCCACTTCATGTTGCGTGGTCGGTTTTTACCCTCACACCACACTTCTTGTAGGAAGTGGCATTTGATCCCTGTTCGGTACAGCGGGCGCAGCGTTCAGTCCCAGCACCGTATGCATAATAAAGTTTTCATTTTTATTTTCTGGCTGAGCTTGCCCAGAGACTTCAAATGGAGTCTAGTGGGCCCTGCACAGGTTTGGCAAGCAGGACACCCGAGTCCTATCTGCGGCTCCGCTGCTCACGGTAAATTTGGACAAGTTGCTTCTCTGCTTGAGGGGCTTCGATGCAAGGCGATATGCTAGCAGCAACATATTTCAGCAAGCGGTCTCCTGTTTCAACAGGAAAAGTTCCCAGTGGCTGGAATGGTTACAGGCACCAGTGGGATTTAGGTGCCCGGTTCCCATGCGGTTTCATTAGCAGTCGGGTACCTAACTTCCATAAAAGAAATGCAGACAGCCAGAACTCTTGATTCAGAGATGATACCTTTTATTAAACCAACTGAGAAACTGCAAAAAAAA